ACAAAAAACTTGGTGGCAGCAAAGGACCTAGCCAAGTGGGCTAAGCGGACGCTTGGTCGAGCAAGCATCGGTGTTGTCTAGAGCTGTGGTTTTACGGAGACCCAATGAAGGGCAAACGTCCGATGAGGTCGTCAAAGTTTTAGGTAACAAACTTGGTGGCAGCAGTGGACCTGGCCAATCGAATGAGCAAGTTACTTGGTGGCAGCAGCGGACCTAGCCAAGTGAATAAGCAAAAGACTTTGTGGCAGCGAAGGACCTGGCCAAGTGGGCTAAGAAGAGGCTTGGTCGAGAGAGCATGGGTGTTGTCTAGAGCTGTGGTTTTATGGAGACCCAGCGAAGAGCAAGCGTCCAATGAGGATGTCAGAGACCCATGTGATGCATGCAGCCTGGTGCACAATGTGCAGGCAGCTTGGTGCATGCGGTGTAGGCGGCCTCGTGCGCATGGCACAGGCAGCCTGGTGCGTATGTTGCAGCTGGATGTGCGTCTGGGGCATGGAGCAAGCCAATTGGCAGCATGATGTGCATGGTGCAGGCCAAGTGGTGCATGATGTGCCATGATGGCTACGTGTTGGGTAACCGCTTGGGGCATCATGTAACACATGTGCCACTTTGGCAAAGCGGAGATACAACTCATCAAGGTGCTGTTCTTTATGCTTATAACCATAGTTGAGAGGAGTGTGAACCTCTCCCTTGACCTGCGCAAGAGGCCATGGGTGCAGCACTAGGAGCATGGTGCATGCACAAGCGGTTGGCTGGTGGCCAAAGACCCTTTGTGGGAGGACTTGGGCAGAGGACAACATAGGCTGGTGGCTAAGAGGTGGCTTGACCTGATGTTACATGGTCAAGAGGGCCATGTGCAAGAGGCGAGCCATACACCTGGCTGGGCAACTGTGTGAGACGGCTATACGGGGTTCAGAATATGTAACTGCCCAAACATGGGCTTGTGTAACGGTCATAGGCCTTAATGCATGAGTGGTAGTGCACGTGTGTGAGTGGATCCTGTAACCGTTGCATGCAGGTGAATGGTAAGTCGACCGCTACCGTAATGTGGCAACTAGGCGTAACCGACCCCCTCCACTCAGGAGCCAGAAGGTGTGGATCGAGGGAGTGGGGAAGGTGGGCGTAAGCCACCATGCATGGTGGACAGTTACGCCTTGCTGGCACTAAACGTGAGACATGGGTCGTCAAAGTGTAACCAACCCATTGTGGTGGGTGGCCAGGTGGCCGACCAAGAGTGCATGGTGGCAGGTGGCCTCCAGGCAGCGGTCATGGTGGTAGCATGACTGTTGTGACAGTGTGTAATGCAGTCATTGACCACTTGCACTAATTCATCTCTTGAAAGCTCAACAATTTCTCTCAATCAGGAATTCTCCGTCAATGCCTTACTCAAAATTTGCCCATTCAGAACAAAGGCACTCTGATTGGGGGAGATGACATGTTTGAGTACCCTAAGTCAAGAAGTTAGGCCCTTGACGATCAGTTATGGGAGTTGTTCAGGAGGCAGATGGGGCATACGCCATGGCTTCTCCACACCTTCAACTTTGTGGAGCAAGATCAGGAATGTGGAGTTCATTTATTCGGCAAACTCATCAAAGAAAGCGAAGATATGTGGGGCTAGTTCTTCCCAGAACCCATTGAAGATGGCCACTGGGACTCCACCTAACCGGTGCTTGCTATATTTCTTTAATAAAGAAAGGTCTTTCAATCCATACCACCACGTATGGAATGAGAGATTGGAAAGAGAGGTCGGCCATAAGTTGATCCAATTGTCTATATATTCTAGCAGGTCCAAGGTTTTACGAAATATGCTATTAGAGCGATAAGAGCTTCTAGCTTTGCCAACATACAAATGTTTTCGTATTCTAAATGTGTTGTAAATTGAGATATTAGTGAGAAATTTGGCCTCCTTTTATAGTTAACAATCTCATTGATATGGAAAAAGCACTAATCAAGTTGTGATCAAATGGCATATATCAATATACATCACATACAGCAATATGAAGCCTGCCACGCCTTTGCATTTGCCTCCCTATGCACAACGTCCAAAAGAACTTCGCGCAAGGGGATAATATCTTTCATAATTTCAGTGTCATGCCATGGATATAGGGACTCCCCTGATGCCCAACAGATGATATTAATTTTGGCCTCCTCAGTCAATGTCCTCTGAGATCATGAAAAGAAGGCATTAGTCCCTGAGGATTATGAGATCTTTATGCTTCATAGGATGGACACAGTAACAGCTGAACCAAATGAAGTCAACACTGGAGTGCCTTAAATCTCACTCCAATGACATTGCAACCTTTGATTATGTTGGAGGAATGGTATTAGTCCAACTACTACAGGATTCAAATAGTGCTGTGAGCAATAATGCAAGGCCTTTAAGATGAGATGGCATGAGCCAAAATACTGAGAAGCACGATAGATAAGATTCTCCCCATCCATTGATCTCAGGATCAGGCCCACCATTTCTGACTTCTTTCCTGATGTATGGCTTCAAGCTCAGCTGGAATCAGCAATAGGAAAGATCAGCCTTTAGTACAGAGAGACTAATGAGGTGGAAAAGATTGCACACAGAAAACTACAGCAGTTTTCTCTCAAAAAAAAAAAGATTGCACATAGCAGTATTCAAGCTGCAGCAACACTAGCTCATCCAACTTAAAATATATTAGCATTTCGACTATCCAATCTTAAGGGGAGCAAGCAGTCAGCCTCGGAGTTCGCTTCCTGGACACATGAGAGAAAGCAATGAATCCTTCCTCAGAACATACAATATCCCTTCCATGAGTTTAGCGATTTCCCATAGATACTACCTTTCTGGCCTAATCTGTTGTACGACCATGAGCTAATGAACCTTCACCAACATGGCACTGAGACATGATAGGACTCCCACTTCTGTTTTTGTACAGTCAGAAAACTCAATAGGACCAGCAAAAATTCAAGTGCACTGACTTTGATAATCTCAAAGTCAACCCCCCACTCCTGCTGATTTATGCCCAAATTATTGAAGTTGCGTTCCAAGGGATCATCCAATGTCTTGACCCGCATGGCATGATTGTCTAGAACAACTGTCTCTGCAAGGATAAATTCATGGTTATCCAGAAGCAGTGAACAATCTCTATGTAAGTTCTGTGGTTTTCAAGCAAGTCGTTGAATGTGAAAGTTCCTTTCTCAGCTTGAGGGATTGATTTTCATGATGATAAATTGATATCAAAAAGGGCAACCTTGCCCCTTGCCCCTTGCCCCTTGCCCCTTGCCCCTTGCCCAGGCATTTACTCCACAAGTTACTTTCATTTTAAGCCCTCATAAAAATGGCATTAGCAACTCTAACACGCAATCCTTCACATTCCAATCCCCATTTTTCCCAATATCACACAAAGCGACAGTGATTGGGTTTGGCCATCTTGCCCTGCTTGTATGCTTACTGCAACAATCTGCAAGTGCAAGTGCAGTTAAATATCTTAATGTACACATGCACATAGCATACTTCTAGTTTCTCCTTCACAAGAAGTGCTTTAAAATGTCGGATGCAGCCCAAAGTGGTTGGGGGGCCGATGCCGCTCAATTCTGTCCGGATGCAGGTGCATCACGACGATGGGGTCAATAAATACAAAAAAAATCTAAAAAATTGAAAAAAAATAGGTTAACGCATAGCAAAAATATGGAGGTGATATATGTGATAGTAGGTACTTAATTTTAATGATTAACTTCAAAAATATTAGTTGTCGGTGATTATGTATCCACTATCCCTTGATAGAAACTAGAAACTTGAAACTAGATTCGTAAAACATTCAACAACCATAAGCACAAATTTGCAACCACAAATTTGAAACCCCCGATTTCTTGTCACAAATTCACCTAAACTTCCCCAAATCAACAACCAAAAGGTTCAAATCAAGATCCAAGTATCAAACAACCCCCAAATCCAAGATCTCAATGAAAAACAATTTCCACCTTTTTTTTTTTTTGCTCGATTTGATCCCAAAAAAGCCACAAAAGTGACTGTAAATGTTTGTTTAGGGGGGTTTAATACCCCCAAACTATTTTCCCCAATTTTTTGATGGTCAAAAAGATCATTTTGCCCATCCCTGAGGGGCACAATCGAAAATAACATCGCGGAACAGTATGCAGGCAGATGCGCTATGCGGCTTTGATGCACTCTAATGCGGCGCATATGCCCCCGCATACCTCCAAACCACATATGCGGTCCTTTCCAATGCGGTGCCCACCGCATATCGCCTGATGCGGCCGCATTTTAAAACACTGTTCACAAGCCTTTATAATTTGCTCAATACAAACTTTTCGTGAGTCAAGATTACTCTGCATAGCAAATTGCATGGCAAATTTAAATTCGCATGCATGAACACCAACCAATGAAATCTGCATAATTTTTACAGACTCATCTAGAAGACCAAGTACCCACAAAAGCTCATTGAGAATGCAAGTGTGTTTCCATAAGAAATGTCATCTTAAAGTACATATTCCAGTATGTTGTGTAACAATGAATATCTAATTTGCCTCTACAAGAATCACTGTAGTAATCTCTCTCCATCCTACAGTGTATGAGAGTGACTATGCATGTTGCCCTTTCACCACTCTTGTTCATCCTGCAAGTGGCAGATAACTTTTCCTAATAATAGAAACTTTCCTATTTAGAACTTGTTAAGCTTCATCATGAAAGTTTCATGCAGTGGTCTATAATACAAGAAATTTCCATTTAGAGGTTGGTAAGCATGGTTGTTATATATACGCATGAATGTTATCCACGTTACCCCCTTTTTTTTTGGAAAATTTAAGGTTACCATTATTTAGTGCTATGATTATACATAATCAAGTTTTTCAAGCTTGAAAAATTCATTTTTCCCTTCTTGAGCAATCTCTCAAATACTGTCAATATGAAAAGAACTGAGACATATGCCAAGCCATCTCTGGGTATAAACGTAAGAAAATATATATTGATTTTAAGAAATAGTAAATGGTACCACCAAGTTACTGAATCAAACCTTCTAGACTCTGAATTGATCAGCACCAAATTCACGAACAATATTAGATCAGAATTTGCATTATCAAAGCCATCATTGAGAACTCCAGTTGACGGATTTGTAAGGTACCGTTTCAGATTGAATGATACACAATATTTGAACGTAGGATTACATAGTTGATAAGTCTCAACTAAGTCCTTGGTCAACCTGACAACCAACTGTAGTGCCCAAAAGTCAAAACATGCCAGCCAGCAATGGAACTCCAAATCAGAATATACAAAAGTCATTTTTCACAATTCAGAATACACAGAACTTGAGGATTATATTATGTCATCTTCGTAGAAAAACACTAGCAATGGCCTCAACATCATAAAGAATCCAATGGCTATTAACAACACTTTCAACAAATTGATTGCAGCATGAAGCTAGTTTATTGATAGAAGGTGCATAAATTTGAATAAAGTGGAGGGGACAACAATGTCAGTATTCATTTACTCAAAAAAAAAAACAAAAAATGTCATCATTCAAATTGTTTTGTTCATCTACAAAAAGCATACAGATTCATATAAGAGTGAATCTTGAGAAGTTGTTACCTACATCTCTTTGTACTCTTGGCTATTTTTCTTATTCCCCCAAGTGTTGCCAGATTCAAGCAATTCAATTTTCAGAGGGAAAGGGGCTTTACAAACTGTGATAAACGTAAAATTTATGTGACAAAATGAGAGCTAAAAGAGTCCATGTTCAGCAACTCTAGAAAAACACCATTAAGAAAATATCAGTTTAACCAAATCCAAACACTCAAAATTAGGACCTCAGCTTTGCTACTAGCATTACAATGAAATTCTATGAATCGTGATGAGCTTCTGGGTCAGGTTCTTTAGGATTTTTGTTGTCGTATGTGTTAATGCCGCTAAACTATCAGTTCATGTGTAGCTGAAACATGCACTGAGAAAAGAGGGTTGGTACAGTATATGGGCCCCTTGCTAATCTAGAGCATAAGAGAAACAATAGGATTCTCATTAAGGTAACATGGTGACAATGATTGTCATAGGAATTATGCAAGCTTCCACCCTTAGGGCAATGATAAGCATAGAGCTTCCAGGGAAGAACTGAGAATTAACAACTTGAAGAACCAGAAAACGTATTTTGTTTACCTTCTATTTTGATAGATAGCCACATGTTCATTTCTTGGGAAACATCTACATCAAGCTGTATTAAGAAGTGTGATCAAAATCAGTCCAGACTGGCCAATCCAATAGAGATTGACAGAACCCAACCTAAATTCATCTGGTCCTCTAACACTGAACACAGTTAATAAACAGTCAGACATGATCAAAATCAGGTCTGACTGGTCGGCTCAGCCAGTTCACCCCGTTCATTGTGAACCAGAACAGGATGAACTAACAGGTCAAATTCACTTTTTCTTGACCTTTATGGGCAACTTTTTTGTTTTTGGCTCTCCTTTGTCTATTGGGAAATTTCAGCCAAGCTGCACATCTGTCAATAAAAGGCTACATAATTAATTTTCACAAGTCAAATTTGAAGTTTTACATTGTGGACTTCATTGAAATGCAAGCCATACGGCTGAATCCCTCTACCTCCTATTTCCCTCTCTTCCACATGCAAGTGTAATATATCTGTCCCTTTCCCCATATTCATGATCTCCATCTCTCACTAGAATGGTTAAGAACCGTCTCTTATCTCCAGTTTCCTTTTTTCAAAAGTATTTATATTTTTTCTACTCTAGCTTGCTTTCCATTTTTATTCCATTTTTTAAGATTTTTAATATTATTTTGCTGTTATGTGCCTTTAATTTTTATCAAATTTTGCTTACTTTGTCAATGAAAAGTAAGCCTGGCTTGACTGGTTATAACAATGTATTAAGAACAAAGATAAACAAAGATGTATAGAACATGAAAACGTGAGAGAGAGACACACACACAAAGATGTATAGAACATGAAGACATGAAGTATAGAATATGAAAGACATGAAAGAGGGAGAGAGAGAGAGAGAGAGAGACAAACACACACGCACATGTATAGAACATGCAGACATTAAAGAAAGAGAGAGAGAGAGAGAGAGAAACATTTATAACGCCCAGATTGGACACTTTTCCAGTTCAATGTTCGGTTCCAATAACAACGTATTAAGAACAAAGACAACACACGCACATATTTATAACGACCACATTGGACACTTTTCCAGTTCCATATTTGATTCCAATAACAAAGTATTAAGAACAAAGACAAACAAAGATGTATAGAAAAATATATAATAAACACACACACACACGCACAGACACACGCACACGCACACGCACATGCACACACACACCATACAACCAGATTGGACACTTTACCAATTCAATGTTTGGTTCAATAACACATTAAGAACAAAGACAACCCTCATGGAACTAAATAACACTACTCTCATCCCTCTCACAAGATATCTACTATTTGTATTCATACTCCTTAAGTCAATTAAGACCTGTATATAACTCAGATTAAGGATGGGGAAGCTCCCCGTAATACGAGTACTCTTAACATTCAGTAAGGGCAAGTAAGACCTCTGAGTCTTGCCTTATGGAGGAGCAGCTAAGAGCTTCTGGAAATTGAAAATGTAGGGATCGTTCGTTGGGCTTTGAGGGACATCTAATTTTTCCCTTATCAAGCAAGTCACAAGCCGTAGGCCTTTACTGTTATGGCCTCCATGTTCAGACCCTCAGTATCAGTCAGCGAGCACAGTTGATAAACGAACTACTTAGCAAAAACGCCTGCAAGTAGGTTGAGAACTACACAAGCTCTTTTGAGAGTGAAACGTCCTTCGTCCTCCACTTGTCAGAGACTATGGGATTTGGAATTGGAGAACACTGACTGACGACACTCAACTAACGGGACGTTGAGGCAAGTATTTGACCGTATACCTATATTGACGAAACAAAGGCACGAGGCCAAGACAGAGACCACAACTTGAGCTAGTACGAACTATACCACAAGCCATTAAGCATTGAGAAGGCCAAGGAGCTCTCTCAAATAGGGAAAAACTCGAAACCGTACCCTAACACCAGCTTCCTAAAAACCAAGTTTTTTTGCCCCTTACAACTCAAATAGGAAGTAGAATTCCTATATCGACAGTGAAAGCACTCGTTTATGTAGGCTCGCTACTTAAGAAGCACCATGCCGCCTAGAAAATGAAAAGCCCAGTTTCAAAAGCCTCAGCCCAAAAGCGTGTTCCACTCAAACAGTCCTCAAACCGAAAGCTCAATCCCTATCTCAAAAGTCCGAGAACTCAGAGGCCAAGGAGAACTACAGAAAGCACACTCGTTGAAGGACAGCGGCTTGAACTTTAAGCAGAGAGAGATTGGGCCAAGAACTTGAAACCCTAATGGCCCTATCACCTAGAAACTAGAAAGCCATAGAACAAATATATCCTCCAAAGCCAAGGAGGCTAAAAGGCCTTCAAAGGGAAGGAACCTAAAGTCTATTAGCAACCATCCGTAGATGGCTTGGCGCTGCTATCACACAAAAGGTTTTGTGTGAAGCAACTATTCCTTACCTTAAATGCAGGTTTGCCTATCCCGGAACATTGTCCGACACCGGCACCCTGGCCAGTAAAGAAAATGACCTTAGAGTTGCGACCTCCGTATGATCCAGTCTGCACACACTCCTTTCTATCCGTTTTGCCTTTGCAAACAAAAGGACACTTGTTCCTCTAATGTATCACTTTATAACCTCTTGCATTAGAATGTCTGCTCTTTATATACTTACTGGCTTCTTGTTTTTCATACACCATTGCGTCATGCAGTATTCAATGAATCATTGCCCTCTTATGTCACTTGCTTGCCCCTATAACAGTCCTCAAAAAGGAAGCTCAATCCCTATCTCAAAAGTCCAAGAGATCAGAGACCAAGGAGAACTACAGAAAGCACACTCGTTGAAGAGCAGCGGCTTGAACTTTAAGCACCGAGAGACTAGGCCAAGAACT